ATATCCATTTTATGGATGGAAAGTCTAAGACAGTGGGAGGAAGAAAGACAAAATGATTTGCCTGTCTCATGCTTTTCTCACTAACCAATGTTACTTCTTTATCTCAAATAGCCATTAGGACTCTTTCTGACTCACTGCTTGGGAACATTTGCCTACTAGCTATATTTCCTTTTCAAGGTTTTAGCTCTTTGATGTCTTTTCACATAGGTAAAACTGTATGCAATACTTTGTTTGACTCTCACATTCTGTCTTACACAAGCTGTACCGTTGTGCTGTTCTCTATTTATTGTTCTCTTTTCACTTCTTCGCTTAAACCTTTTAACTTTTACTTAATACCCCACATTCTTAAAAACAGTACCAATTTATTTGAATACAAGACAAGGTTTTTTTTTCCTTCAATCTGTGGGAGAAAAAAGCCCCTTGTCTTACATTCATATACCAGGAAACCTCATTAAATACACTGGCTATCATTAAATTGCTGCCAAAAACAGCTTGTGCTCAGTAATGGAAACCAGCTATGAAGATGCTTAAATTCAACCAGCACCAAGCATGACTATAAAACACATGGTCCATACTGGGCAAACATGCTGATGGGAACCTTTTAAAAATGTATTTATTTATGTATTTATTTTTTTGGTGTGGCCCTTAAAAACAAAACAAAACAAAATGGAGGGGGGCGGGTGTTCCCTCCACAGGGAACTGGCACTGGGTCTGGAAGTACTGCAATACCAAGGTGACACCAGGAGGGTTAATCAGCCCTGACACTCTCCCTTTAGTGCCAAAAATGCTACATTTAATCTTAACCAAAAAGGTAGAGATACTGATTTTTTTTTGTTTTTGTTTCAAGGGCCAAATCAGTTCTGAATGCTATTGGGCAAAACTCAGTAGTCAAGTTTGAAGTTTCAACTGAGCAGAGCTCAGTTGTTCAAGTCCATGTGGCTCTACCACCAGGCAAGGATCCTCTTTCCAAGACTCATCTGTCTTGGGCTCCAGATACTCCCCAAATCTGTGGCTGGCATCCTACATGCAAGCTCAGGGCCAAGGGATCCTGGGGTTTGAATGCCCCCAAGTCTTGTTTGCTCTAAGTCAAAAGACCAGGGAGCAAACCAGGGAGAAAGAAGAAAGCAGTCCCCAATTACCACAAAATTGTGCAACTGAGTCCCCTGCATTTGGGGAAACTCCCAGCATCAGCATGCTGATGGGAACTTACCAGATATTTTTTTGGAGGGGAAATATATATATGTACATCATCAAACTTACCAATCTTTAAGACTCTAAAGACCGTTTCAAAGCCATACACCCATTACAAGACTCGCTCCCAGACACCTGCTACAATAGTCACCCCCCTGCCTGGCAGCCCACTGGCCCCAGAAAGCTCCAGCAAGCACTGGGAGCCACCAGGTGGTCCCAGCAGCCTCCCTCTCGCAGAAGGATAGGTTAGGACAGCCCATCTGCATAAGATACATGGTAGTACTCATTAAGTACAGCCTCCCTCTTTTCCAAGTCATGATGAGTCATCATACTGTATACATTTTAACTTCCTCTCACACTCACATCTAAGCTGCACCTTTCTTTCCCATTTCTATTGATTCCTGTTTCTTCATCAGCCTTAAATGTCTGGCAGACAAAACCAAATGGGGCCTCAAAAAGTTGATCCAGAATTCCTCTATTGTCCCCTTTCCCAGCCTGGCACATATGAATAATGTGGCCCTGTCCTCCATAAGGTATAGCCATACTAGGTTGCCATGCACCTCATCTGCATATACATTTATGGAGGATCCCAGGACTCATGACAACAACACCCAGTTATGAGTGGGGGAAGGGAGGCTAATTTGCACATGGCTCCCTTGTGGGGCTATCTGGAGGATTCACACATACTAAGCAGTGCTGAGCTGTGGGATCACCATAGCTTGACATCCTGTTGACTCTGGTGAGGCCCAGCCCTATGTAATATATGGTAAATCACAAGGCTTTTGGCTTTAAACTAATCAAGTGGTAGAGGTGGATACATTGGTCCAATATCAGATTGGTACTGATATAAAAAAGATTCGCTGTATCGGATATCAGCCCAATGAGGCCACTAATTTGGCCAGTAAATGTCCATGCTGCACACAGCTGCAGCACAGCCCTCAGGCAGTGAAAAGCAGAGCTGGCAGCGTGGAGAACTGCCTCCAGCTGGTAAGTCCAGTGTGGTGGAAGGGGTGGGGGGAGTGAAGGGGCGTGGGGGGGCAGATCAATGCCCCTTGTGGTGAGGGAGGGAGCAGGGGCACAGGCAGGCACTGCCCAGGTGGGGGAGGGGCAGAGCTGCGGGGCAGGAGGGGGGAAGAGGTGGTTTCCACCACTGCTTGGACCCTGGGAGGGCATGGGGGGTGTGCCCCCCCAGATCTGCATGGGGCTCTTCTTGGTGGGTCTGGATTTGGAGTAGGTGCAGGCGGTGATGGGAGGATGCTGCATCCACCCCAAATTTCACCACTGCTCCACTCCCAGTGCTGCCGCAGCCAGCTGCCCAGCACAGCCCCTAGCTTTTCCCGGTGCGTGAGTGGAGGTGGGGAGTTAAGTCAGGGCTGCGCCGGGTGGCTGGCTGTGGCACTGCTGGGAGTGGAGGGTGGATGCAGCATCTTCCCTGTTCCACCGGTGCCCACTCCAAGCCCAGCCCCTGCCAAGAAAAGCCCTGTGCAGCCCTAGCTGCAGCCTGCCCCACCCCACACAGATCCAGGGGGCATACACCCCCCCATGCCCTCCCAGGGTGCAAGCAGTGGCAGGAGCTGCCTCCCCTCGCACGAGCCACAGCTCCGACCCCCACCCTGCCTGGGTGTTGATCTGCCCCACTATTCCCCCTTCCCTCTCCTTCCACCACACCGGACTTAACAGCTGGAGGCAGCTGTATTGGAAATCGGATCAGTATTGGCCAATATGCCTCCTTAAATATCAGCTATCAGTATAAGCACCAACAATCTCTATTGGTGCACCCCTAGAGACTGGCGGCATCTGAATCCCAAGGTCTTCAGACCTGGGGCTTGCACGTAGGATTTTTCCTAGATCTGGGGATTATTTGAAGCCCTAAATCAATGGGACTGGGAGGGAGGATACTTGCCCAGTGATAGCCACACAGACCTGATGATGGAGGTCTGCTCAGTCAAATCCTGGAACTCAACTATTTGCTTTTGCCCAATCAAATCTAGAATTGATTTGGCTCTTGAAACAAAATATATTTATAAAAATAGTTTGTAGTATATATAAATATGTGCCAAAGTGCTATGTAAAAGTGTGTTTATGGAATAACTGTGACAAAACTTGCAGCAGTTAAAAAAAAAAGTAACATACATCAATTCTGGTTTAACTAAGTCTATGGGTACCAAATGCAAAATACTATAGTTATGTTTAATTTTGAAGTCATTGTTTTCAAATTTGTTCCTCATTTCCATGTGCTGAGGTAGTGCAGGGTCTGACAACAGGGAGAAGGGGAAGGGGCTGCAGAGAGAAGGATCTGGGGTGGGGGGGAGAAGAGGGTAAAGGGGTTACTTGATGCCCCCCTCTCTCAGATTTGCTTTCCCTGCTGTTACAGTGGGAAGGGGCCAAATTCAAGGCAACCCTGCAATAATTAGATTCTATACCTCAAAAATTATAACAAATTTATAAGTTTTCCATGTATGGAATCTAATTATTGGAAAGCCATCTTAAATTCAGGGTCACCTTATATTCAAGTCAGTATGGTGTGTTTATTTGGAAAAATGCCCTCAGTTTATCTTCTATGGTCTGACTATAAACTTAATTTGAACACATCCCTGCTCTGAACATATCCAAATTACCAATCCCAGTCTGTTAATTCAAACTAAATTGTTTTTTCCTACAAGAAAGACAATTTAGGACCTATTTTATTCCCTCTCTACTCATCAACATTAAAAGCTATACAACCAGGGAGTTCACAATCTATGTAGTGATGAGACAACAAGCAGATAACAGGCAGACCATGAACAGTGATAAGACTGTTGTAATTAATATGATAATGAAAAGGCACAATTCACCAGCTGCCTCCAGTGTGAAGTGTTTTGTAGCCATCATACAGTAGATGAGTTTTAAAGAAGAACATATCGTTTATTTATTGGCCCTCCCTAACTGCGTGCCCTGGACTACTTGCCCCTACCTGAACTGGAAAAATTGAAAGAACAAAGTAGTCATTAGGGAGGGAGAAACCAGCAGCTATAATAAAAGAGCCTTAACTTAGGGTTCTGAGTGTCCATAAGTACCACTGAAATCAAAGTGAATTAGCACCTCTCAGAAGGAACAAGGACCTGATGAGTTATACACTTTAGTATCCTCATGTGAATATGCTAGTCCTGTCTCATCTTTCTGTGAAACCTATGTTTCATATAGGCTCAAACTTTCAGTGAAATTTCTCTTTAAATCTGTATAAAAATCTCTTGTCCTCATACAATTATCTGGCCTACAAAAGAAACTATGCAAGACATTCTGAATCACTGACTTCAATAATGCAAGTGCTCACTTTGAGTACATGAGCAGTCCCGCTGAGCTGAGATCCAACCAATTGCCTGCTTAAAGACTGTAAAGATGTAAATAAGTTACTGAATGAATCAAAGAAAAAAAAGAAAATTTACACTTTTAAAAAAGAACTGTAATTTGGTTCAAGGTTCAGGTTGATATTGAATGTTCGATGCTTTCTTATATAAATGTCCATGCAAAAAAGGAACTGTCACAGAGAATATAGTTCCTGTCTTTGGGATCTCCATGCCTGTTTACAGCTGGTTAAGATGTCTCTGAGTGCCAGTTTCACTATACTAGAAGGATAAATTGCTTAGTCTGTCAACAAGGAGTACTAGGATGCTGACTAGTCTTGTTACTAGATGGACAAAGATGAAATGTGTTGAATATGTAGTCGACGATGGAAATGCGAAGTGAAGATCTTCAGGATCTTGGTTTGGTAGGAGACAGTTCTACAGTTGACAGAGCCTAAACAAAGCCTTTGATGAAATCATAACTACCTTGTCTCAGTTTCACCAAAAGGAAGACTGTGGACAGCTTAATTATCACAGTGCCATTACCATCAGTAGCAGCTTCACAATCTTGAAATGCTGCCATTCTTGAAACCATTTGTCTGAAATAATAAAAATTCCTTAAAAAACAATGGACTGTCATATTGTTGGAAAAAAGGAAATGTTATATAATCAGACACCATAACTAATCAAGAAAAATAAAAATAAGCAAAAATCCACATGTTTTTAAACAAGGGAACAAAGAAAGCAAATTTTATCCAGAAATATTGAAGGAGTAATAATATCCAAAAATCAAAACAGCTGAACATTATAAGGACTCCCTTAACCCTCCATGTCTTGGACCTACATGTAACAAATTTTCTCTTTATGAAATGAGCGCATACATTGTGCATGTGCCTAACAAATGCAATAAAAAATAATAAGCAATAAACCCAAACTCCATGGGGGCCTTTTTTTCACTTTCCCTTATATTTCAAAGAAACTGCTTCATTCATACTTTATCTTATTTGGGTTAATCACACCCTATTTTATTTTTTCTTTGGCACCTATAAAGATCTTAGTGATACGCTGCCTGTTAAGATAAGTGTTTTAGTGTTCTTTCTTCTTACCATTAGTCACAATTTCCTAATGCTGATACTTTGCCAGGAAGTCAGAGGAAGCAGTTTCAAATGCAAGTGATTACAGTGTATGTACATGCTTTGACACACAGTTTTGGTCACTTACTAATACAAATACAGACTGGCTTAACGGCAACTTTATGTCATTTTCCATCAGTATAAAAGTATGAACCCTTTGTAACAAGTTGCTACTAAGGATTATTCCCTTGATTTCTATTGAGTTAACTATGTGAACATCTGACGCTTGTTATTCATCTTATACGATTGGACATTCCAAAATCTTGGTAATCAAAGCAATATGCATAGTTGTGATAATTCTTTTTTTAAGCCGATAGTAGAGATATGTCAATCATTAAATTACACAGAGATGTTAATATGCCAAAAATATATTCTTTCTTAGGAGTTAGATCAGTATACAGTCAAAATTGTTTCTATGTAATGCTCAAAGCATGCAAGGGATTTTACAGACAAATAGGCCACATCCAGACAAGCACAGCAGTGTGGTATGGAGCACGGCAGAAATGTCTGTGGCACCACACATTCAGCTGTTCTCCATGTTGCAAGGGAGCAGTGTGGAGGGGAGGGTGCTTGACCTCTGGCTATCCAGTGGTCAAAAAAAACCCATGCAAAAACAAGTGGAGCAGTGCATGCGGAAGCAGCATGCACCCCAGCTGGGCAGTGCCTGCCCTAGCACCAGCAGTATTAGTGCTATTATATTCGTTATTATTATGAAAAACAATGACTCAGGGTGGAGTGGGCACAGGGGTTCCAGGGGGTCTATCCTCTCCAGTCCAGCAGTGTAGCCAATGTTGGCCCTGCTCCGCCCCCAGCTCTAGCCCCCACCCCCAGGCATTGTGGGGCTGGGGCGGTGCAGGGAGAGAGCCAGAGCTGGTAGATTCGTTGGCATGGAGGGGTGCAAGTGCTGGGAAACTACCCCAGGTTTCATAGTTTCATAGTTTCTAGGGTCGGAAGGGACCTGGGCAGATCATCTAGTCCGACCCCCTGCCAAGGCAGGAAAGAATACTGGGGGTCAAACGACCCCAGCAAGATGGTCATCTAACCTCCTCTTAAAAACCCCCAGGGTGGGAGCCTACACCACCTCACTTGGAAGCTGGTTCCAGACCCTAGCCGCCCTGCCCGTGAAGTAGCGCCTCCTGATGTCCAACGTAAACCTTCCCTCCGCCAGCTTGTGACCGTTATTCCTGGTCACTCCTGGCGGCGCCCGGGGGAACAGGGACTCCCCCAGTGCCTGTTGATCCCCCCTGACTAGTTTATAGCAGGCCACAAGATCCCCCCTCAGCCTTCTCTTCTGGAGGCTGAACAGGTTCAGGTCCCGTAACCTTTCCTCATAGGACCTGCCCTGCTGTCCCCTGATCATGCGAGTGGCCATCCTCTGGACCCTCTCAATGCTGTCCACATCCCTCTTAAAGTGCGGCTCCCAGAACTGGACGCAGTACTCCAGCTGCGGCCTGACCAGTGCCGCATAGAGGGGGAGGATCACCTCCTTGGTCCTGCTTGAAATGCATCTGTGGATGCA